ACGACCGCTCACTGAGTAAAAAAGGGATTAATCTCTGATTAATATATTTATTTGTTATAATTCGTAATGTAAAATAACTTGTCTATTATCACGATAATCTTTAATATTATATTCCTTTTACGTCATGCAGTAATGCGGGGTCTACAATAGAAGTCGTAACAGTCGTAGAGTACAAGTCGTAGAAAATTGACCAATCACAATCGAATGTGAGAAGAATAATCAACTGTGATTGGTCAATTTTCTACGACTTAGGACCTTACGACCGCTACGACTTCTGTTGTAGACCCCGCATTACCTTTTGGAGCATCGTTCGCTCATCACTGTTCTTTGCAAAAATTTACGATGTGATCTGGCCGTATTGTCTCCGCTTATTTCATGGAGGCAGAAGTCAATAACTAAAAAGAACAAGAAGACTAGAACCAGGAGAGTCAACTCGCGTGGTGGGGGTGAGTCAAAAAGCGTCACCCGCTGCTTACCCCCAACCCCTGTTGAGGACGATGCTCAGTAGCTCACTGCGCATCGTCCCCACCCTTTTGGGGACGATGCTCAGTAGTTCACTGAGTACCTCACAAAATTGGAATATTGTTTTTCGATTTTCTTTATCTCCAGGATTGAAGTCACAATTTCGAACACAGCACACTCGCTTGGGCATCGTAAATCACATCGGATTAAATTTTTACGGTTTATGTTTAGTTCAAAATTCAATCAAACAGAAACAAGGTACGTTGACATGCGCAGTCACGAATTGAAACCGACTATGTAGAGCAACAGAGAGGATGAAGCGCAAGAGTGGGGGGTGTCGTTCGTTTCCACTTCTTGCCTCACCCCCACTACCGCTTTTACGCCGAGTTGACTCTCCTGGTTCTAGTCTTCTTGAAAAAGAAGAATACCATGGATGCATTCAGTACCACGACCGCTCACTGAGCGCTCATTGAGCTCGTATCTGTTTGGTCTATATTTTTAGTTCTAACGGAATATACCAATAAGATGCAAGTGCTCACTAAGCGCTCAGTGAGCGGTTGTAGTACTGAATGCACCCCATGAGTGTACTGTTTGACTTGTGCTTGGTTGCTGTTTGATAGAATTGCTTGAAATATATTTATTTGAAAATAAATCATGCCAAAAGTACGACGAAGCAAGAAACCGCCTCCGGATGGTTGGGAGCTAATCGAACCGACTCTGGAGGAATTGGAACAAAAGATGCGCGAAGGTGAGTGTTTTGCTTTTTGCGAGGTTAGATTAGTTATTTCAATTTAACAGGAATGATATTTTATAAGATGCGGTTTCTCTTTTTGTTAACAGCCGAGACGGAGCCTCATGAAGGCAAGAGAAAACAGGAATCCTTGTGGCCGATATTCAAAATACATCATCAGAAATCTCGATATATATATGACTTGTTTTACAGGAGAAAGGCGATTAGTCGCGGTAAGTTAAATATCGTAAAAAAAAACGCCTTTAATAAGAATTTAAGAGATGTATCTGGTTTCTTTACGCTTTTACTTATTTCAGAATTGTACGATTATTGTTTGAATGAAAATATTGCTGATAAAAATTTGATCGCCAAGTGGAAGAAGGTTGGCTATGAAAATTTGTGCTGTCTGCGCTGCATTCAAACAAGGGACACGAATTTCGGTACAAACTGTATCTGCAGAGTACCGAAAGGTAAACTTGAAGAAGGTCGGATAGTGGAATGCATACATTGTGGCTGTAGAGGATGCTCTGGTTGAATATGATGTTTTCTTACAGTAAGGCACTTCGTTTTTATTGCCACAAAATTACATTGTGCACCTTGTATTCTGTAATAAAGATAAATTTGCGCGTATTTCTCATCTTTACTCAATCTTCAGATGCCATTTTTTGGACTCTGTAAACCTGGCGGCAAGATATAGCGGCGTTTGTACACGCCAGTCATATGTAACACATTTATTTTCAGATTCGATATTCACTCGCAACATGTGAGCATTTTTCCGGAAGGCAGAGATCATAATAACCGCACCGAAACGCATTCTTGGCAGGCGCATCAGTTTTTCGTCACCGTCCATGAAGATTTTGCCTTGAGGTGTGATCATTAGCGACGCTGCTCTTTTTAAGGTATCATTACTACCTTGTGGATCATAAACTAACGCAATACCTTCGTCATCGTCTCCTTCTTGTGGAACTTCTAAAAACTATGATAGACAAATTAAAACATAGAAAAAATGTAACGTATGACGAAAAAATGTAAATAAAATGACATTGTATATAGTTACCTTGAATTCAATTACGTGATTCTCATCAAATTGAGGACCTTGTGAGAACAGTGTGCTTATAGTATTCGTGACTTTTGCAGCAATTTTACCATTAGTGATCATATAATTCTTGTTATCAAGTTCCCAGTCTGTAATCATTAAAAATAGTTTTTTTATTGTTTAATTTAATAATTTTATTACTTAAATTAATAATTTTTACATGAAAAAATGCAAAGTTTTTAAAATATTCTTTTCCTAATTCAAAACTGTTAGATCAGATTTATAATATTTAAGTCAGATTAAAATAAAATTAGAACTTTTATGATTCCAAGAATAAATTAAATATAAGTAAAATGTCTATATAAGAGTTAGAAAAGCTTTATTTTTAATACAGATTGTCCGCGTTCTCTATACATACTATACGGCGGTATAGAAGTTCGTGTGACGTGATGTATACTCCTTGCGACGTTGTCTGCTTTTATTCTAACTCTGAGCGTAACTAGTTGATCAACAGGTATATTTCTAATAAAACAAGAAGTCTCGGATCCTCTGTACACCGTCTCAAATTTGTTTGATGCCGAATCGAGAACCTCCCCATTAGCTTTCTCTACGATAAATGTCTGCTCCTCGGCAAAATACTCCGGATTAGTTACGTGCCATTTAACGAATAAACCCGCCGGTCTCTCTTCAATGTTCATTATCTGAACGGGTATCGTGCGAGAAATGCAGCCGAGTTTCGATATTTGCTCTATAATCTCTTCCTTGTACGAGTTCAATGGACGATCAAAGTTTATATTTGGAAGCTCCTCGGAATATGGCACTGCTGGGATCCTTAGAAATGAAATTAATCAGTTTCTGAAAAATACTCAACATAATTCTTAAATTACAATCACACAGTTCTCACCTGCCTAAATCATTACTTGCAGAAATTATCTTTCCAAATCCGTTCACGCTGTATCGATATGGGTGCTCTAGAATACCTTCGCTCATCGATATAATATTCTGTGCATTTTGTAGCTGTGCCTCTACTTCCCTTCTACAAGCCCTCAATGGTATCAGACTCTCATGTTTGTGAATTTCTGTCTCCAGTATCAACAGCTCGCGTCTCTTGTTAATTTCGTGGCATACATCATCTAACAAAGATTGAAACGTCCCGTCTATATCTTTTAATGTTTTCATCATACTATTTTCTATCTGATAAAACAATTTTTTCATGTTATTTCAGTCACCGTAAAAATAAACAGCAATTTTAATGAAATAAAATCAACAAACTTTAAGAGTATCTCATATTTACCTGCTGATCAGCATTGTCGAGATCTTTCAATTGATAATCCAATTTCGCTATATATTCCTGTGCAGATTGTATAATGCCTTTGACATTTTCTTCCACATTCCGT